GGAGATTGTTTTTTCAGTGAATTACGTTTTTGCGGTAAAAATCTTGAGTAGCGCTTGCGATTCGTATCAAAAAAATCGAAACGCATCCCATATTTTGTTCTTTGTGTGGAACAAAGGGATTAAAGAGCCCATTTGCCTCTTCTGCACACAAATTGGCAACGCTTTCACTGGTTCTGCCCTCGGAGGGTTGCATAGAAGCAAGCTAATGGCATATTGACTCACTAAGGTGTAATCAAACTGAATCAGCTGATTGCAGAAGAATTAGTTTCACATTGGTAGAATCGTTGTGCTTAAGCCTAAAAGTAGCACTAATTTTTGCTGCCTTTCAAAAAGTGGTGTGGAAACAGAGCCTGTTTTGATACACAAAAGTATCGAGGGGTGCACGAGGGACATATCCGTTCTAAGACGAATAAAGCGAAGATTGGTGTGAGAGTGCTGATTCGGCCCATTTTGAAAATTGAACGCGAAAATTCAAATTTGCCTCTGGTATTTGATAATCGATGTATAATTGCATTGAATTTGTTTGCTTCTTCGGTCGTTGTGGTCAATTGGGCCATCCGTCCACTCCCACACTTCGCTTTCACAGGTCCTGTACGTATTATGATCAATTGGTGGTGTGTGGTTGGTGCTGCGAATCATTCGTTCAGATGGTGCAAGATTTTGTTGATGGCCTGAACTGCGTACTGCCCACCGCTGAGGGTCTTGATATTTTACTGGAAATGTGCCAGCATGCGCAAAATGTTGCCGGTATCATGGAATTTGCCGAGGAGGTAAGCTAGTTCCATCAGTTGTCTTGTTATCTATGAGCTCAAAAATGAGCCCAGTGAAATTAAAATAAGCGCATTTCTTAATCATCCACATATTCATTGTACATGACTCTTCCACATGTGCCTTGTACATGACTGTTCAATATGTCAGAAGGTTTGTACCACATTAACAACCCAGCTATCTTCCCCATCACATTCCATTAGCAAATTCCATTCTCCTACCCCTAAAATTTAAGGGTTTCGCCCGTTCCGTATTTTCTGTGGTTTATACGGGCCGTTACTTCAGAAGGTATACGACGGCCGCAAAAAAACCTCTTGACAATTTCACCCTCTTCGGCCGGTCCGTTTTTGTTTCGGCCTTCTATGGCCCGTATCTTCTCTCCGTTGTATTGTAACATTGTGTCTGCAGTGTTTGCGAGAAACACGTTTATGAGGATGCGAGCAGACTTTATATTTAAGAAGAAACGAGAAAAACGATACCGCTGGAATGAAAACAACGGGTGCGGAACCAGCCGACAGAAGTAACAACCTGTCGCCATACCATTACACGAAATAATACTGAACTTCCATCATTTTTGCCTGTATCACTTTTATATCTCAGGACTGAGCATTTACATATCACATGGGAGCATAAGCCAACTGGGGCAAAGGGAGGAGATCAGCTAGCTTCATTCATTGCTCATTTCTGCCACTTTTTATGCGTTTTATGTTGTGTAACAGCAATACAAAACGCATATTGTCACGGGGTTGTCTGTGCGTGTGTCCGTAGCAACTTGTCCGCAACTTTGAACTCGAGAACCACAAAAGCTAGGAAGCTGAAAATTTAGGGTAACGTCCCCCACCCATGTGTGACCCCGCAGATTTAAATTCTGT